TTCATAGGGCAAGTCTTTGGGCTTTCGGAAGCTGCAGCTGTTCTAAGTGGGGAATGCCTGGCAAATGCGACTTTTCACCGGCAAATGAACCAGCTTCGCCGGCTGCCGCAATTATGTAAAGGCTGCTCAGCAAACTGGTGAGATGGTGAGTTTCGGAAGCTTTGGCTGTCGCGACTGTGTGTGTGTGTGTGTGTCTGTGTGTCTGTGTGTCTGTGTGTCTGTGTGTCTGTGTGTCTGTGTGTCTGTGTGTCTGTGTGTCTGTGCGTCTGTGTGTCTGTGTGTCTGTGTGTCTGTGTGTCTGTGTGTCTGTGTGTCTGTGTGTCTGTGTGTCTGTGTGTCGGCCTGTTTGTCTATCGGTCTGTGTCTGTCCGTGTCCGTGTCAGTTTCTGTGTCCGTCTCTGTCTCTGTCTGTGAATCTAGGTCTCTCTCTCTCTCTCTCTCTGTGTCTGTGCGCCTCTGCAGCTGTCTGCAACGCTCAAGGTTCTCAGGTGGTTTTCTAGACCACAAACCCGATCCTTGCTTTCCCTTGTGTCCGCTGCGAAGCACAAGCTGTCCCAAACGCCCTCGACAGCACTGGAAGGCCCCTCTGGGGGGCGGCGGCGATGGTCAACCGCGCTCCAGGGGCGGGATCCTCGGTCGGGTGTTGGTTCCATTCGAGAAGTGCCTCCTATTTACGCCAGACAGAACTCAGCTTTTTGGGTCTGTTTTCCTTTTGTTTCCGGCTAAGCAGCAAAGCAAGCGCTCTTTGCGGAGGTCGAAGTCTGGCCAACCTCGGTTGATGGAACAACTTAGAAGGGCGCCTGTGCAAAGTTCCAAGCAGATTGAATCTGAGAAAGCAGCTGCATCTTACAAGACACGCATCATGGACTTTGGATGCGCTTTGGCAAGCCTAGCAAGGGCGCACCGAGTCATGCTCGTTGGGTTTCAGACAAGGCTGTATTAATTTGCTCTAGGTTGCAGTTGAATAATATCTGGCAACTTTCGCTCACATGCTTCCTTCCGGTTGACAGGTTTTCCTATAGAGCTGCTTCCGCAGTTCAGGCTTCTTGAAGATCCCAAAGAGCCATCACTCTCCAACCGAGCGAGGTGCCCTGCTTGAGGCTTAAAGTGGACCCGAGGCCAAAATTGCACGGAGCCAGAGCAGCCCGTGAGGATCCTGAGTTGCGGCCTGAGCTCTTGGGATATGGCCATATGCACAGCCATGCACCACTTGGAATAGATAAAGCCCTATGAACATTAGGATAAACCTACCAACGGTGCCGGACTTTGTCCATCCACAGTATAGTCTGAATGGCAGAGTAGTCTTTGTGTCTTGAGAAGCCAAGTGTCTGAGAGACGGAATAGTCTCGCGGGATTCCAGACCTCGAAGGGGGTTCCCCTAGCAACTTTGACTGGCTTTACTGGCAGATGCGACCATACAATTTCATGCATGCCCACCGTGATGACAGCAACCGAGTACTTTGTGGAAACTGGAACTGTGCTACGAAATCGTTCGACAGTGCGGTGATGAATGTACCTGAATATGTTCAACACAGCGCCCGCTTAGCAGCGTAGAAACGATACAGCCGAGTAACGCGAGCGCCTTGCCAGGTAGGGGTGACCGGGCTGCGCCGGCCATGTGCTACGCTTGGAGTCGAACATGCGCACAACTGCAAGCGAATTGCTCCCTGAACACTCCAAGTCCAAGCTTTCAGATGAGCCTCAAGTCCCAGTTCAAGATGAATTTGTGCTCAAGCTGCGTCAGCATGCCAGCGTTCTTTGGCGATTGGGGCAAAGCGGCCTATGAGGTCACAAGCCTACAAATCACCACCAGGTGAAGGCAGATCTGGCCTGGCACCTACATTCGCTGGTGCTTGGCAGGTTGTTCTATGCCCACAGCATTGCCACCTGGTCCCATGGTGGCGAGGTTCCTTCCAGTTGGGTTCCAGTTTGGTTCATGCTTGGTTTGCCTTTGGGCAGAGTGCCTTGCGAGCGGGCCTTGGGGGCCCATGCCATGTGCGTGCGGGGGGGACGGGGTGTAGCAGCACGGAACACAACACCAGCTATAGAGAATCATATATCTCTATATATGCATCACTACATAAGTAAAGCAGAACGTATACAAACATATACATATGTATATGCATGTATAGCACATATGTATGTAATGTAATGTAGTGTAATGTAATGTAGTGTAGTGTAGTGTAATGTAATGTAAGGTGATGTGGTATAATGTAATGCAATGTAAAGTAATGTAACGTAATGTGATGCAATGTAATATAATGTACTGTACTGTACTGTATGTATACATGCATGCATATATGTATGCATTTATGCATGTATGTATGTGTGTACATAATGTAATGTAATGTCATGTAATGTAAAGTAAAGTAATGTAGTGGAATGTAATGTAATGTCACGTATGTATGCATATATGTATGTATCAATGAATGTGATGTAATGTGATGTAATTCAATGTAATGTAATGCAATGCAATGTAATGTAATGTCATGTAATGTAATGTATGTAATGTATGTATGTACCCATGAACGGTATGTATGTAAGTACCTACGTACGTACGTAGGTACGTAGGTACGTATGTAATGTAATGTAATGCAATGCAATGCAATGTAATGTAAAGTAAAGTAAAGTAATGTAATATAATGTAGTGTACTGTAATGTAATGTAATGTAATGTAATGTAATGTATGTATGTATGTATGTATGTATGTATGTATGTATGTATGTATGTATGTATGTATGTATGTATGTATGTATGTATGTATGTATGTATGTATGTATGTATGTATGTATGTATGTATGTATGTATGTATGTATGTATGTATGTATGTATGTATGTATGTATGTATGTATGTATGTATGTATGTATGTATGTATGTATGTATGTATGTATGTATGTATGTATGTATGTATGTATGTATGTATGTATGTAATGTATGTATGTATGTATGTATGTATGTATGTATGTATGTATGTATGTATGTATGTATGTATGTATGTATGTATGTATGTATGTATGTATGTATGTATGTATGTATGTATGTATGTATGTATGTATGTATGTATGTATGTATGTATGTATGTATGTATGTATGTATGTATGTATGTATGTATGTATGTATGTATGTATGTATGTATGTATGTATGTATGTATGTATGTATGTATGTATGTATGTATGTATGTATGTATGTATGTATGTATGTATGTATGTATGTATGTATGTATGTATGTATGTATGTATGTATGTATGTATGTATGTATGTATGTATGTATGTATGTATGTATGTATGTATGTATGTATGTATGTATGTATGTATGTAATGTATGTATGTATGTATGTATGTATGTATGTATGTATGTATGTATGTATGTATGTATGTATGTATGTAATGTATGTATGTATGTAATGTATGTATGTATGTATGTATGTATGTATGTATGTATGTATGTATGTATGTATGTATGTATGTAATGTATGTAATGTATGTATGTAATGTCAATGTGTAATGTATGTAATGTAATGTAATGTAATGTAATGTAATGTAATGTAAGTATGTATGTATGTATGTATGTATGTATGTATGTATGTATGTATGTATGTATGTATGTAATGTATGTAATGTATGTATGTATGTATGTATGTATGTATGTATGTATGTATGTATGTATGTATGTATGTATGTATGTATGTATGTATGTATGTATGTATGTATGTATGTATGTATGTATGTAATGTAATGTAATGTAATGTAATGTAATGTAATGTAATGTAATGTAATGTAATGTAAATGTACTGTAATGTAATGTAATGTAATGTAATGTAATGTAATGTAATGTAATGTAATGTAATGTAATGTAATGTAATGTAATGTAATGTAATGTAATGTAATGTAATGTAATGTAATGTAATGTATGTATGTATGTATGTATGTATGTATGTATGTATGTATGTATGTATGTATGTATGTATGTATGTAATGTATGTATGTATGTATGTATGTATGTATGTATGTATGTATGTATGTATGTATGTATGTATGTATGTAATGTATGTAATGTATGTAATGTATGTGTAATGTAATGTAATGTATGTAATGTAATGTAATGTAATGTAATGTAATGTAATGTAATGTAATGTAATGTAATGTAATGTATGTAATGTATGTATGTATGTATGTATGTATGTATGTATGTATGTAATGTATGTATGTATGTATGTATGTATGTATGTATGTATGTATGTATGTATGTATGTATGTATGTATGTATGTATGTATGTATGTATGTATGTATGTATGTATGTATGTATGTATGTATGTATGTATGTATGTATGTATGTATGTATGTATGTATGTATGTATGTATGTATGTATGTATGTATGTATGTATGTATGTATGTATGTATGTATGTATGTATGTATGTATGTATGTATGTATGTATGTATGTATGTATGTATGTATGTATGTATGTATGTATGTATGTATGTATGTATGTATGTATGTATGTATGTATGTATGTATGTATGTATGTATGTATGTATGTATGTATGTATGTATGTATGTATGTATGTATGTATGTATGTATGTATGTATGTATGTATGTATGTATGTATGTATGTATGTATGTATGTATGTATGTATGTATGTATGTATGTATGTATGTATGTATGTATGTATGTATGTATGTATGTATGTATGTATGTATGTATGTATGTATGTATGTATGTATGTATGTATGTATGTATGTATGTATGTATGTAATGTATGTATGTATGTATGTATGTATGTATGTATGTATGTATGTATGTATGTATGTATGTATGTATGTATGTATGTATGTATGTATGTATGTATGTATGTATGTATGTATGTAATGTATGTATGTATGGATGTATGTATGTATGTATGTATGTATGTATGTATGTATGTATGTATGTATGTATGTATGTATGTATGTATGTATGTATGTATGTAATGTAATGTATGTATGTATGTATGTATGTATGTATGTATGTATGTATGTATGTATGTATGTATGTATGTATGTATGTAATGTATGTATGTATGTATGTATGTATGTAATGTATGTATGTATGTATGTATGTATGTAATGTAATGTAATGTAATAATGTAATGTAAGTAATGTAATGTAATGTAATGTAATGTACTGTAATGTAATGTAATGTAATGTAATGTAATGTAATGTAATGTAATGTAATGTATGTAATAAAAAGTAATGTAAGTAATGTAATGTAATGTAATGTAAATGTAATGTAATGTAATGTAATGTAATGTAATGTAATGTAATAATGTATGTAATGTAATGTAATGTAATGTAATGTAATGTATGTATGTATGTATGTAATGTATGTATGTATGTATGTATGTATGTATGTATGTATGTATGTAATGTATGTATGTATGTATGTATGTATGTATGTATGTAATGTATGTATGTAATGCATGTAATGTAATGTAATGTAATGTAATGTAATGTAATGTATGTATGTAATGTAATGTATGTATGTATGTATGTATGTATGTATGTATGTATGTATGTATGTATGTATGTATGTATGTATGTATGTATGTATGTATGTATGTATGTATGTATGTATGTATGTATGTATGTATGTATGTATGTATGTATGTATGTATGTATGTATGTATGTATGTATGTATGTATGTATGTATGTATGTATGTATGTATGTATGTATGTATGTATGTATGTATGTATGTATGTATGTATGTATGTATGTATGTATGTATGTATGTATGTATGTATGTATGTATGTATGTATGTATGTATGTATGTATGTATGTATGTATGTATGTATGTATGTATGTATGTATGTATGTATGTATGTATGTATGTATGTATGTATGTATGTATGTATGTATGTATGTATGTATGTATGTATGTATGTATGTATGTATGTATGTATGTATGTATGTATGTATGTATGTATGTATGTATGTATGTATGTATGTATGTATGTATGTATGTATGTATGTATGTATGTATGTATGTATGTATGTATGTATGTATGTATGTATGTATGTATGTATGTATGTATGTATGTATGTATGTATGTATGTATGTATGTATGTATGTATGTATGTATGTATGTATGTATGGTAATGTATGTAATGTATGTAATGTATGTATGTATGTATGTATGTATGTATGTATGTATGTATGTATGTATGTATGTATGTATGTATGTATGTATGTATGTATGTATGTATGTATGTATGTATGTATGTATGTATGTATGTATGTATGTATGTATGTATGTATGTATGTATGTATGTATGTATGTATGTATGTATGTATGTAATGTATGTATGTATGTATGTATGTATGTAATGTAATGTATGTATGTATGTATGTAATGTATGTATGTATGTATGTATGTATGTATGTAATGTATGTATGTAATAATGTATGTATGTATGTAATGTATGTATGTATGTATGTATGTATGTATGTATGTATGTATGTATGTATGTATGTATGTATGTATGTATGTATGTATGTATATACGTAGCCATGCATAGAGCAGAGCGCTTCAACCTTTCACGGTACTTTTCTAGCGCTTCAGCACGTTTGCTACCCAACGAAGCGCACCTTGCAGGCCCTCGAAATCGGCTGTGAGCTGAGACTCGTTGGTGCGGCGAGTGTGGCGAATGGGCCCAAGTGAAAAACGGGTTGCCATTTTGGAAGCGCACGGCTTCAAGAAGAAAACAATAGTTTCCGAGTTGAAAAGGTTGTAAACTCAAGTCGTACGTCTTTGCTTCCAAGGCACGTCTTGATGCAGGCTTGTTGAAGCGTGATGCAATCCTTTTTCAACGGGAAGGATCGAGTCAAAGCCGTGTTGTGTCCTTTGATCCTCTTCCAGACACATGAGTGAGACTAATTTGACTGCGCTCTGATCATTCCATGTTGTGCTTCTTCCATGGGTAAGGTTGAATGATCAGGTAGCCCCTAGTTGGTGGTTTGAATTTGTGGTTTGGGGATTTGAACCCCTGGTTCTTGCAGAGGGTAAATGGGAACCGCTCCCTGATGTCCAAGCCACCACTCCAAACCACCAATTTCAGGAAGCTGAAATGAGGCTTTTTTTGGCGAGAATGAGATCAAAGTCGTGGTTTTGCGCGTCGAGCAACGCGCTTAGCCGATGCTTAGGGGGCATGGTCACAGATGACTGCGGGGGCCTCAAGTTTGACATTCGGAGGGAGGGTCTATGGCGAAAGGCTCATTGGATGCGCCCAAGAGACTGCGAGAAGGTCTTAAACAGGCAGGGTGTTAAGCAGGGCCACGGACCCCCCCATACAATTGAGTCAATTGAGTCCCTGACAATACAATCATCAATGGCGAACAGCATTTAGGTGTTGGCATTCTGGGCATGCTCTTGGGATGTCTGAGTGAGGCCCAATACTCGCGCACTGAGTTGCGAACTGCCGAAGGAGTAGGCGAATGGGTGGGGCAACCCAGCTGTCAAATCACAATCCGTGAATCATGCTTTGGCATTCCCTTCAAATGTGGCCATGGCTTGTTTTGACATATTTTTTGCCCGACCGTGCCAAACTCTTCTCCGTTCTCCCCGTTCAATGTGCCATTGCGGCCCCGGCGAGACGGCCGCGGATTGGAAACGCAGCGCTTGTCGCTGGCAAAGGAACAGCACAAGCCACAGATCGAGAAGGTGATTGGCATCTCCAGCTCATTTTTGAAGAATACCTTGAGCAGACCAGCTTGTGATGTCGAATCATGGTGGCCGTGTTATACTTTGCTTGCTGAACTGTGCAGTTGTGTAGTTTGATCCATACGAGATTGCCCAGATAACTCCTAGCTTGCGGTATTCCCTCCATGCCGCTCTTTTTGGGAACCGAAGATAGAGTGAGAATCCTTGTTTTCATCAATTATAGACATGGATAATGCCCTTTTTGAGATGGTAGTGTTGCAGCCCTGTCCACTTCCATGGACAGGGGGCAAGGGAAGAGCCATGACTTTTGGCGGCTCCGTCTCAACTTGGGAACCCCTTGACTTGGGGCCAAATTTTCATGGGAGACTCGTCCGGACCTGAAAGAGGAGCGGTATGGATCTGGGAGCAGGGCAATATGAACCGCGTGCTGTTATCGTTCTTTTGCAATGGAGCATACGATCAGAGTTTGCCTCTACAAAAAATACAAAAGGCCTCAACAGAAGCGCACAGGCAGCAAGCGGCACGTGCAGATCGCATCCAAAACAGGATGTCGCATGCAGTTGCGGGTTGGCAGCATGTCTTCCAATTGGAAGGGATGAAGGTAAGTCACACGTACCTTCTAGCTTCCAGGATTCAATTTCAACTGTAGAGCATAGTGCTAGACAGATATTTGGAATCAACTTGCAATCTCCTTCGCCTGGCCCGATGTTTGTTGTTTGTTTGGTCAATCTTGGACAATGCCAATCTATTTCTGGGTCACGGCAAGCTTAGCAGGTCTTCCAAATATCTTGCAGCGTGTCTCACTGGTGTCGTTGCTCAACGTTCTGCAGGCCCGCGGATGGCTGTTGCTTTGATCCCAGACCGATCTCCTTCGATGTTGGATGGCCATCGGGCGCCCGTCTTTCGGGCTGCAGAACTGCAGATGCGCGGAGGAGAAGAAATGTGTGTGAGTGTGTGTGTGTGGCTCGTCGAGGGGGAGTGGTGCTCGTGCCAGACGTTCCGAAGACTGCTGGTTGTTTACTAGCTTGATTGCTATTGGGTTTGATCTTTAGACTTTAACTTTTTGGGAACTCGAGGGTTTTCCATTGGGCCCGCAAAAAGACAAGCTTGTTGCAGAGGGGTCAACAGCAACCAAGCGAGGGGCTGTTCCATTCTAGTGCGATCCTGGTTTGTCAAACCCCATCTCCGCCAGCTGAATCAGCTTCTGGGGTCGAATTCGCAGAAGTTGCGCCTAAGCTGCCGGATTTGCACATCGCAGCTGCAAGGCGACATTATATATTAGTTTGTGACTGAGCAGACACAGGTGCGAGGCACGGAAGCAGTTGAGCCAGCATGGTACCCTTTCCACGAAAGCACCACGAGTTGCAACCAGCGCAAGTTTGACACAGCCATGAACTGCACAGATTGTGGAGTGGCATGCGAGCAGAACAATTCTTTCATAGCATTTTGTCACTCGGGCAGGGCCTTAGACCGATGGGATCTTCCTCTTTGCTTCGAAGCACGGGCAGCGTTTTAGACCTGCCATGTGGGAGCTGGTAGGTCCGCCCCAGGACGGATTGCGAGCAAGTGGGAGCGGCCGGGATGTGCCAAGCGACAAAATACAGCCACGAGATCCTTGATTTTCTGATGTGGTCAAAAGTTACCTTGCCACTTCCCGAAGCTATGGGAATCACAAGGCTAAGAGCGGTTTTTCTCTGAGCTTTTGGTGGGAACGCCTGAAACGCCACGGGTGGAGTCAAGACTCGGCCCAATGAACTCGACGGTCCGAGCAGCAAGTCCTGGTGTCCAGGTGCTATGAAAGGAAGTTGCTCAGAACGCTCCTCAACTTTCGAGCGGCGGGGTTGCGTCGGTCAGGACCTGGTTGATGCCATGGCTATCCCGGGCCAGGTGGCCTCGTGGTGCTCTCAGACCGAGAGGTTTTGCCGGGGTTTGCTTGGCTTGTGTAGTGCATGTATTGGTTGCATAGCTGGTTGGTTGGTTTGCTGGCTGTTGGTTAGTTTGTTTGGTTTGGTTGATGTTTGCTAGTGTTTTGGTTGGTTTAGCTGATTTGATGGTTTTCCTTTTGGCCACCGGTCCCCTGGGCTAGTGGTTTTGGATTGACATGCAATGCTTCGGTTCGTGGCTGTTTCTTGGTGCACTGAGGATGACCTGGATGATCTCCAATACGCTCAGGTGCTTCAGCGCTTGGCAGCGCGACGTTTTGTTGCCGATTCGCACAGCCGCTCTGCAAATTGACATGGCTGTGGGTCAAAACCACTGGGATCGATCCCATTTTGGGGTAGGTGAATTTACCCATTCTAGGCTACCTATTTTAGTGGTTGGATTGGATTGGGATGTTCAATGGGGGTAAGATTCGGGTTTTTACCCATGGCCACATGGAAACAGAAAGGATATTTTTTTAAACATGGCCGCGCGGTCACCCGGCGCTCAAAATTGTGACAAACGGCGCATCTTCCCTGGGCTGTTTTATCAACATGTGGCGCGGCCCATCTGCGTTGCTGGCACAGGCAGCAAGAAAAGGTTCACCACAAGGTGTTTTCTTTTTCCCACTAGAAGTTACTACATTCCAACATTGTCAGCGCTTATCATGATGTTATTCAGGAACCTCATGGAAAGACATGTCTGCTAGTTCGGCGCAGGAAGAGCAATTCCTATGAGGATTTTACCAAGCTCGCATGCACGCCGTGCCATTTTTCAAGAACAAGTGTTTGCTACATCCGCAGCTTGTCCATCAACATCCAGTTTGATGGCTGGAAGCGCAAACACAAATCCGGGGCCCAAGCCCGAGCTAATGGCAATCTGCGATAGCAAGCAAGTGCAGTGCTCGAAGCACAAGAGGCAGCTATGGTCTTCTATGCAAAACCATTCAAGCAAGTGTCAACCGTGGCTCCATGTCCGGATTGGCGTATTTGAGCTGGCGCTGGCACAGCTTATCAGTTTCTCAGCAAGATTATCACCTGGAAGCTTGACGGTTTCAACGTCTCTCAGCGCGCGTTCGCAGGCAAGTGAGTTGTTGCCCGGGCGCTGGGTGGCTGTTGCGCGAAAATAGAGGGTTTGAATGTTAACCCCCGAGCGAGTAACTGGATTTGCAGGTACTCCTTGTTCCGGAGCAGGCAACATGGTGAACAGCTTGCACTAGATTCGCCCATGATTCATTGTTATTGGAGATGGAGGATAATCTGGGTGTGTCTTTTTGAGGGTACCCTTTTTGTTGTGGGCTTCAAGGCAGGCCGACAGCCCAACGGCCAGGCATGCCCCTCTGGTGGTCTTGCTAATGCTGCAGATGGGCTCTCAGCCTTGGGCAGAGCAGTTGGGGTGGTTTGAATTGTACGTTCACGCGTGGAGGGACACAACGCCACGCAAGCATGCAACACGCAGAAACGCAAACGTACTCAAAGGTGCAAACGCCAGAATGCACAAGCGTACAAACAGGCTAAACACGCAAGCTCACGGGAATACGCAAACATGCAATGACAAATGTGCAACGCACAGACGCAACGGTGCAAAAGATGCTAAGACGCAAACAGACAAGCACGCAAAGCACACATAAAAGAGACACAGGCACACACACACAAAGACGCACAGCCGTACATTGTCAAAGTTGCAAAGATGCACGACGCGCAGTGCACGGCAACAAAAAGCGCACACACACACACACAGACACAGACACAGACACAGACACAGACACAGACACAGACACAGACACAGACACAGACACAGACACAGACACAGACACAGACACATACACATACACATACACATACACATACACATACACATGCACATACACATACACATACACATACACATACACATACACATACACATACACATACACATACACATACACATACACATACACATACACATACACATACACATACACATGCACATGCACATGCACATGCACATGCACATGCACATGCACATGCACATGCACATGCACATGCACATGCACATGCACATGCACATGCACATGCACACATGCACACACACATACGCATACGCATACGCATACACATACACACACACACACACACTCACACACTCACACACTCACACACTCACACACTCACACACTCACACACACACACACTCACACACACACACACTCACACACTCACACACACAGAGAGACACACACACACAGAGACACACACACAGAGACACACACACACAGAGACAGACACACACAGAGACAGAGACAGACACACACAGAGAGAGACACACACACACAGACAGACACACACAGAGACAGACACACACAGAGACACACACACACACAGAGACACACACACAGAGACACACACACACAGAGACACACACACAGAGACACACACACAGAGACACACACACAGAGAGACCACACACACAGAGACACACACACACACAGAGACACACACACACACACAGAGACACACACACAGAGACACACACACAGAGACACACACACACAGAGAGACACACAGAGAGACACACACAGAGAGACACACACAGAGAGACACACACACAGAGACACACACACAGAGACACACACACACACAGACACACACACAGGCACACACACAGAGACACACAGAGAGACACACAGAGAGACACACAGAGAGACACACAGAGAGACACACAGAGAGACACACAGAGAGACACACAGAGAGACACACGCACCAACACACGCACCAACACACGCACCAACACACGCACCAACACACGCACCAACACACGCACCAACACACGCACCAACACACGCACCAACACACGCACCAACACACGCACCAACACACGCACCAACACACGCA